GCGACTCTGACCACCTGCTGCTTCTGCTCCACGTTCTTTTAACTTTATCGGATCTTTTTCTGACGCCACAGTTAAATTAATTGCTCCGTTGTTCGCACTTTTTCGTTCTCATTCAGTTCGGTGCAGTGATTACATCATGCTTAATGAAAATTTGTGATGAGAATGTAGAAAATGTGGAAAATGGAGAAAATGGCAGTTTAAGAAGCTTTTGGACAGAGGGGATAGAAGCAGAATGTCATCGAGCATTGGGGAAATTGCTTTAATGAAAAAGAGAATTGCCCTTTCTCAGCGATTAACGAAGAACGGCCAGGGCCCCATTGGTCGAAGTGGTCATAAGTCATTTTCTACCAACGGCCATATATCAAACCTCTGTTCACTTCACTAATAGGCAACAGTCGCTATCTCAACCGCTTCGAATCATCTGGTGTATGTCACGGCAATGCATCTTGTAGGAAGGCATTGTTTCTCATGCGAGCCGATCATTTGAGCTGCTCAAGTGCATGAGAATGAGCCGTGGCTGGCTCAATCTCATGCACTTAAGCAGCCTACATAAATTTCTTTTCATTTCGAGTTGATGCTGTCGTTGTAATACACAACAACTGGATATCTTTCACACTGGGCACTTGGATGGGTAAATCGCCCAGTAACTTCGTCGTTGGCACTTGTAGGATGTAGTAGGATTGTTTCTTACCAGAGCCTGAGACGGTTGTCAACAGAATTGCCCTCATTCTCCTTTCATAAAAACATCGTGTAATGTGTAGGTCAGACAGGACCAGCCAAAGTACCACGCTTGGTACCATGCCAACGAACTTTCCGCCAAAAATCCTTCCAGGTTTTAAAACCCGGGTAACCACTAGTCTCCAGAATAGATATTTTCAGGAGGTATCCCCTCCTATAGCTATTGGTTTCAGGAATTTTGTATGTTGCTTCGCAATTCTAAGAGTTCAAATTCGTTGTCGAGACTGTTCCCATGTCGTTTTCCGTCTGTAGCTGACACTTTCAATTCAAGGTCGCACCAACATAACGGTTTTTCGCTAGTAACTTTCTTCACAGGTATATCATCTGGAGAACATAGTCACGGGAGACGGGCGTTAGGAACGATTTTGGGTAATCGATTTGCCGCACGCGGCTGTCGCGGACCACTCATTCGCCGTTATTATAGCTCTAGCGTTCTTCATACAGCTCAATCGATGTGCGATCAATGTTTTATGCATAATTCTACTATTAGTACTTTTGTTCTTGTATTTCTTACCTACTGCTGCATCCTACTACATTCCTTCGCGCGCGACGCCCCTCTCACCGCGACGCGACCATTTCGTTCCTAACGCACCACACCCCATAGTCACTGGTAACATTCTCTATCAACAGTAGCTGGTAAAAACCAATTTTTGTTACTGAGTTGCTTCGCACTACAGTACTCATCTTATGCTCAGTGATCGAGTTGCAGCACTTCGCCTGAACTGATCTTATTTGTATCCAACTGACATACGCTTCAGTGAGTGTTGTACGTAATTCTGTTTAATCGGCATTGAAGACATACCCCGGTAGTGTTTGAAGGAAATAGTTAATCAATTAATAAATAGGCATACATATAAGGACTAAATAGTAGATGAATGACTGGTTGGAGGTGCCGTGGAATGACCGAGTAAAACAAATCGTCAAATTTTTACGATTCAAAAAACTGATTGATGTTCCAACTCGAACATAACTCGCACTCATGCACGCAGTTGCGACGAAGTCATTAATACTATTGAAATTTTACACCGTCCACATAGTGCCAGCAGTACGGACAGCATGCCTTGTAATCCAGTCATTCGAATTCGGCCCTGCTGTGGACCCATTCGGAACATTCCGGTAACGCAGTTGGCTTGTAAAATGCTTTTTTTTATCCAATCAAAACCCATTCATGCAATCTGCCCGGTAGTGTAGAGGTTTGATTAGCTTGATCCCCATACTCATCGCAAACTATGCTAGTGGGCACAAGGTTGTCCTGCCCTTTCCTTTGAGCCTGATTTTCACAGTTTCAATCGATTCGATCAAGGCAGTCGAGACAAAGTCTACCGGGTGCAGTTTTATTACGCGACGGGCGAAAAAGCGTAAATCAACGTCGGTCTGCGCTCTTCCGTCATTTCTGTGAAACAGTTCTCTGATTTCTTGACTGTAACCGTCAATCTACTGCTGTAATTTGTCATCTTACTATTTTTGAAACGAATAATCATAATCTCTACATTATATTCAGGTATTTCTGCAAAGCTGCTCCTGCAGCTTGTTCTGACGTTGCACTTTCAATAACAGAGCGCTTAGATTGCATAGGATTCCCTTCTCCCGAGCGTCGCCTTTCTCCTTTTCACTAGCAAATCAATTGAGTACAGGCGACTTGCTTGTGCATTGACTGACCTGGCCAGTGCTTCTTTTTTGTCCATTTTACCGCAATGTTGTAAAGGTGAGTGGAAACGTTCTCTCCCAGCAGTGCAATATCGCAAGGGAGATTATCTCAGAACATTTCTGAGAGAAGTTCTCATTCCCTCTTGTGGAATTACATGACTAAGCCTCGCTAAGTATAATTGATATTAGAGGGATGAGCCGAGGTGGATGCTATAAAAGAAGTTTCCAGAAAGGGCTTCAAATTGCTTCACAGTGGCACAGTTTCGGCTCTTGACGTCCCGTCCTCCCTCATCCACAAAGTTTCCCATTAAAAGAATGGGCTCCAAAGAGATGTCCCACTAGGGAGAGCCTTTGACACTACACCGTCCTAATTCGTCCAGCAGTATCACTATTATTGTCTACTTCAGGAGAAGGGACGTGCCCCAGAAGTCTTGCTTATCCCCGGCCTCTTCAGGGAAGGGAAGCTCATCTTCCATTACAGTACTGTGACATCATTGCTTTTTACAAATCGAAGAATTATTTTTAAAAGATAAAAGGGCGAGATTGGCGGCTCTAATCAAACTTTTTCCTAGTTGTGACGTGCCTGTGCTCTCATATTCTTCCCGCGGTATGCAGCATCTCAGGCCACATCCCAGTGGTGAAATTCCAGCTACTTCGACCAGGTTCTTCTGATTTTTCGAAGAGCTTCCTTTGTCCCTGCTATTACGACAGTCTCTCACATCAAGGACACGATTAGGGGTAAAAGTTGGGCCTGAGATCAATCATCGTGTCCCCCTGACCACATTAGAAATGCTGGATGCCCCTGCATAACTTGGTTTGAGACTCCATTAATGGTGATTACGGGCGAACGCTGACCGTCATCGGCAGTGGGTGCTCCGTGGGCGGTTGCCCGTTCCCCATTGCTGCTGCTGCTGCTTCTAGTGAGAGCTGAAGCTCCCTCTTTTAATATCGACGTTTTCAAAGTACATCGTGTTTGTGAGCCTTGCCCACTCTTTTTCGTACGCGTTGTCTTTACATTTTGAAGATGAGCTAGACATCACAATAGAGCTGCTATTTCGTTCGTCGGCATGTCAATTTGCCCATCACGTCATCAGGGAGGACGGAGGCGGTCCAGTCTGATTATGCTAATGAAACATGTAACGAGCAGCGGTATTGATGAAGAGCAGTCAGTAGCCATCTTACTTTATCTAATTGTAGGGACTGAATGAGATTTATTCTTGCTAACTTCAAAAGAATAAGAGGTTTTGAATTTCTGAGCTTATCCACAGTTACTAGAAGTATTGCAAATGCTGGCGTGCGCCATGCCATCACCCTATCCAATGTTTTTTAAGAGGCCCCAAAATCTCATTCAAGCTCTGTTTTATAAAGTTGTATATAAGTTGGAAATAGCACATTTGAAGGAAGAGCTGCCTCTGAAATTTAGCACCTCTCTACTCTTTCTGGGAGGTTCAATAGGGACCACTTCTAGGGAAGGAAACTGAACTAAAAGCTTATTCGAATCCTGTCGTATCACAGATGCATGGCTTATTCTGAATGGACTGATCCGCAGCACCTTACTAGTCCTTTTGTGGGGGATGAATAGGGATCATTAGAAGCCGATTTCGACATCCTTCATTGTTCACGAGTGAAAAATCTCAGTGTGGCAGTTCATTCAAGGGTTTCATAGTTATTATCCAGAAACTTGTCACTAGAACTGTCTCCGTAACTGCTAGCTAGTCAATTTTTGAGGTTCAAGTAGCTGCTTAGCCGAGAGCTCAAGTGAACACTTTCTTTTAATCCATTCTCGCTCGGCTAGATCCATTTAATAGTTGATTTATGTTTGGAGGGAATTATTTCATTTTTTAAAAGTTCTTTTTTTTGTATTTAACGAATCCATTTTTTTGTTATTTCTTATCTGTCTTTGATTTATAAGCTAATCAAAATATCTCTGGGGATTTTCGCTCTCATTCTACTCATCCTAGTGCCTTCAACTGCTAATGATTCCCTCACCATCGTAAAACTGTATTTGCGCCGAAGAAACTGCTATTAATTGTCTTGCGACTGCCCATGGTCTCCATCTTATTCTTATCACCTTCAGGATGGAAATTGTTGATAGGCTCAGAGGGTTACATTACTGGGTATACCGTGATGCACATGGACTCACAAACAGCCAATATCCTACCCATCCTAGTTTAGATCCACCTCAAAAACCTTGTTCTTCTTGGCGGGATTCAGATTTCCTCAACAGGGTGGCGAATTGTGAGCCCGAACCCGAAATTGGCTATTTGACCTCACTGAACTCAGTCCTACATGAGGGCTGAGGCTTACCAGTAAACTCCTCATTAATCAGCATTTCTCTCGATCTTACTGGAATTAATTTTTTCTCAATTCTAAGCACTCGGCCCGCTCACTGTTGGTCCTGACAAGCTTTATGTTAACTCAACCTTCCGGCAATCCATTTTCAATTCCTCGTTATTTTTTTTAAACGATTCTTTTCGATTAATCCCAATCCAATCAGTATTGTGACTTATCGATCTCGAAATTCTCACGTTCTCGTGACGCTTTGATCGGTTTTCCGTCTATTTTTTCTGCCTTCGCATAGATTCCTTTCGCCTTAGCGCTTGTCGACGTCTCGAATGATCACTATCGATTGTCTTCGACTTCATTTTGAAAATCAATCTGTAATTGTTCAGACCCGACGGCAGTCGTGGCGTCCACATCGGATTGGAGTTCCCCACCGCGTCGACGGTCCATCTCAACTGTGTGCGGTCCATCGCACCGAGAGATTAACCAGTTCTACGCACAGTTCTTTCCGGAAAAGGTACAAAAAGTTGGCAACCGCCAAAATGGGTTCCGGAATCTGATTTCATGGATTTTCATGGATTTTTTCAGGAAATTCCGCAAGAATATGGTGGATATAATGCGTCGTATATGAATCATACACCTCATCACAATATGTATTTCGGGGTGAGTTTTTTAAGCGGAAATAGAAGTTGTTGGGTAGACCTGGAATCCATGCAGTTTACGGTAGACAACACGAAAGTCCACAGTAATACGTAACTGTTGCATAACTTCCAATAACTGTCACATTTGCTGCTTTGTTTCTTCCCCCACCTACTTCCCACTGTCCAGGATTCTTCCCATAAAGAGCGAATACAAGTACAATCGCTCAAACACCGCATGGTAGTCGCTCTATGTGCCATGATCCCTATCATGCTCATCAGTCTCCCATTTCATTATTTAATCGAGGACCTCCAGTGACGTAACCGTCTGCTTTACAACTAAACTATCCTATAAAACGAAAAGGGGGAACATTATACTGGTAATACTTCACTATTCAACGACGACTGTGTTTTCAAAATTGCAATTTTGGTTTAGCAACTAGTGATTAATTAACAGTATAAGAAAGGCGTAGATAAGACGAATAGAAGGTAATCTGATCGTTGACTCTGATCGTTCCCTGCCGGATAAAAAACGCTTTCGATATCCGTCAAGAATTCGATTGCTCCTTGGCCTTCGAATTAGTCTGTTTAGAGAGGGCGATCCTCAAAGTGGTATGTGCATCCCCTCGAACGGAACTGCCATCGATCTTCCTGACCGATGGAGTTCTCGGTTAACTTGAATCGGTTTCCTTCTCGATATCCTGATAGTCCCAACTGCGCCTTCCATGTCTTGCTCTGGTCTTGCTCTTTCACGTGGTCCCAGGCCGAAGACATGACAAAACGGCTTCGAATTTTAGCATCTTTTGCCCTGGTTTGGTATAGCATCTTCTTCTTGTTCTTCTTCCTAACGTTCATTCCACACCGTCTCAGGATCCACTACTCTTGTCAACAGTCTCCACTTCTTTCTATCTACGGCATCTTCTGCCGTTACCTTAGCTTCGGCGAAGTCCAACTTAATCACGTCCCGCCATCTCTTCTTTGAAGCTCTTCGTGGTCACACCCTGAGCTCCTAACGGCAATGGCCTCCCTGACCGGATGATTCTGTGGTCGTTCCAGTACTTTTCCAAACGCTGCTCTCTCATCTTCAGCTAGGCAGATGCTGTTTGCATAGCAGCCTCGACGTCTTCATTTCTGATCCGATCGTGCCGCGTCCAACTGCAGGCTTTCGCATAGCATGTGAGCANCCATTTCATTATTTAATCGAGGACCTCCAGTGACGTAATAGTCTGCTTTACAACTAAACTACCCTATAAAACAGAAAGGGGGAACATTATACTGGTAATACTTCACTACTGAACGACGACTGTGTTTTCAAAATTGCATTCTTGGCAACTGTTTCAGCATCTAGTGATTAATTAACAGTATAAGAAAGGCATAGATAAGACGAATAGAAGGCAATCTGATCGTTGACTCTGATCGTTCCCTGCCGGATAAAAAACGCTTTCGATATCCGTCAAGAATTCGATTGCTCCTTNAGCAGGTGGTTCACGTAGCTGTACCATATTTCAATGCCATTTGTGAATCAGACCGAATTATTCATAAATCTTAATTTGACCAACTCGACTGCTCCCTGATCCCTTACCTTCGTAAAAAGAAGCGGGAGCGCCAGGATGCCAGGTGACTCTGTCGTACTTTCGGTCTGGGATCATCCTCTGTGGCTACTCATTTGAACCAAACTAACTTACTACCTCTCAAAGTCCAGTTATAAGGATCCGAACTCGTCTGGCAGTATAAATGCATTGACTTGTCCATGAGGTACCCCCTCAAGTTTTTGTGTACATATGTTAAATGCCACTATGATTCCGAATGAAAGGCAAATTGCTGGGGTTCAGGGTTCAGGAAGGGGCTGATCAGTTTTCCAGAAACTGTGCCGAAAGTTCTGGAGAGCTTGAAGCGACTTTTGAACAGGAGCCATGGAAACTTTTATCCTCCCTTTTTTTAAGTTCATGAAAATTCTTCGAAGTTCCTCTTCGTGTAATTAGCCATAGTACAAATAACCGCAAATGTTGCGAAAAGGGATTCAGAATGATTCGCAGCAGAAAACTTTATTTATCGATTTACGCGGTTATGACTAATTAAATAAACCAGTTGTATTGATAACATTTCTAACCAATGGCATCATCTATTTTCCAAGTGAGACGTGTAGTCCAGATTGGGATGCTTCTAAATTGACTAATGGAAGTGACAAGCCTTTCAGAAGCTTCCTTTTTCGTAGATTTACTATTTACTTATTATCGATGACGTAGCCAATCAGTGGTTTTCCAGATAAACAGGAAACTGTCACTTGCAGTAGAGCTCCCAATAAACTCATAGAGAGGTTTTTCCCAGCGCCCCCATAATAAGATTCCCTTAAAAACACAATCGTTTAGAAGCAAACCCAGGGAAGAACCCCATTTTGAAGGCGTCCATGTTACATTCACCGTACAGTCGGTTTCTAC